AGAGGAAGAAAAAACACTGAATGGCACCTCCGGAGAGCCTTCCGCAGAACAGATTCAACAGCCAGAACGGTGGACAGCCCGTCTTACTCAAGACAATTTCTTTGGGGGAAAAAGAAGGTAGATAAACTAGAGCGGGGGTCCCCAATCCCCAGGCCGTGGACTCGTACTGGTCCAGGCCTGTTAGGAACCAGACTGCACAGTAGGAGGTGAGCGGCGGGCCAGAGAGCGAAGCTTCACCTGTATCCGCAGCCGCTCCCCAGCGCCAGCATCACCGCTTCAGCTCCGCCTCAGATCACCAGGCATTAGATTCTCATAGGAGCACCAGTCCCTGGTGTCAGGAAGGTTGGGGACCGCTGAACTAGGTCACCGGCTTGTTTGTTTTTAAAAAAAATGCAAGTAGCTTGATGGGGAAGAAAAAAAGTTTGGGTTCTTTATCTAATAAAGCATTCACTTAAAGAAAAAGAAAGAATGGGGAAGAAAAAAGTAAACCATACATCCCTTATTCTAACAAAGAAGCCAAAAAATGCTTTCTTCATGTTTACAGCATTAATGCCACGTGCTTCTTACACAGAAACCAAAACAGCATCTCCATTTCAGGTCCACAAAGGTTTCAAGGTAAACTAATCACCGCAGATGCGGCAAGGAAACGTTGGGCAAGTCGAGCACGCAAACTAGGTAAGAACAGAAGCCGTTGAGCATTGCAGACACCTCCCTACCTGCCCTTGCTGAAGGCAGGTCGAGAAATCACTCCGCGATTCAGGGAACACTACAATGTGTCACAGGTGAACTTGAGAGTCCAAGACTCATGGGAAGACGGGACAAAACCCATTTCTGAGCGGATTTCTCGTCTGAGGCCAGGGACCCTGACTCTCTCAAGACACAACTGGAAAGTTAGAGGACCAGCCTCCCTGTCTCTGCGGTGTTCCTGGCAGCCTGGCCCTGCCCTGAGCTTAGTGGGCTGGTCCTGGCACAGCCAGCCCAAGGACGCGCTGCATAGCTGCTCCTGTCGGACAGGCCTCTCCACACAGACCCGTGTCCCAGCGACGCGAGCCCGTGCGTGACCTCACCTGCTAAGCGCACAGCAGTTTTCATTTAATAAATGCTAGCTGAATTCAAGCTGTCTCTCTCAGCCTTAGTTTCTTCATTTAAAAATTGATAATTATCTTTTCAGCCTTTTCCAAGGAAGTGTCATGAGGCTCCAATGAACTAACTTTGCAACAGTGAAAGGGCCACGTGACCTAAAGGGTGCCGTCCAGCAGGTGGGCACCGCGCTCGGTGCTGTGAACGAGACCCCGCTAGGCTTTGGTGGCCTCTGGTCGGACCTCAGCAGCCACCGGGGGAGACGGGAGGCGCACGAAGGTTCCAGGAAAACGCGGACACTGATAATCCTGGGGTTCTGGCTCAAAGTGGCAAGGCCCCTGGGGTGGAAGTGGCGACGGGCCCCAGGGCTGGGAACCCCCATGTCCTCTGAGAGAGTGCTTCAGAGACAGAGGTGCTACGACCAGAGAGCCGGACTGGAACCAGGAGGGGCGTGAGGGGCCTGGCTGGCCTAGGAGACCCAGAGCCACCAGCCTCCAGCACCTTCAGCTTGAAGTCCTTAGGGAATCTTTTAAACCTCTTCCGCCAAACTCCTGGCGAGCTCCTAAAAGAGGGGCATCGTGTACCTGGGAGAGAGCCCAGGCCCAGGGCACACAGTAGGACAAGACTGAATGCCACTCCGGGCTTGCGACTCACTACCTGCGTGGCCTCTCCCTCACCTGTGGTTAGCAGAACCTGCTTTGCGGGGCTAAATGCGAAGATTAAATTGCTAATGCCCTTAACTCGCTAAGCACGATGCTGGGACACAGCAGACGCATAACCAATCATTAGTCCCTGTTTTTCTTCTGGGAGAAGGATGAATTGAATTAAACCAGATGATACAAAACTCTCCCAACTCAGATCTTTAGTCTTAGAGCAGGGAACACGGCTAAATTTCCCTTTAGGCCCCAATTTTGGTAGAAGTGGGACAAGCCAGCTAGACAGTTCAATGAGCATTCACAGCCTGATGACAAAGACCTTCCACATAACCACCTATTTCTCCAAAACTGTCACCGAAGTCCTCCAAGCGCCAGTGAACTGGATCCAGCCCTCGAGGCAGCAACGAGCGAAGCCAATGTGTGTAACAGCCAGCCAGAAGAGGACTTGGCTATCAGAATAAAGAAGCTCCCAGCACACGCGGAAAAGACTATGAGGCTGGGGCAGACTTCTTTGGCAGGAGAAAAAAAAATCCCAGAGGTAATGCTTTCAGGTTAAGGCCTTTTGTTGGTACAGGTAAGAAAGTGGGAGCAACAGAGGCATTCTCATACTCAAAGAAGGAACTCCTTCATACCTTCGAGAGTGTTTGCTCAGCCATCAGTGCTGCCGTTAGCAACCGCACACGCGGAGCAGCCCCGCCACCCCCCGCAGCACGTGGGCGCACTCCATGTTTACTCACGCTGCAACCTGAGCTGGCTCCAGCAGGTCACTTCGTAAGCCTTTTAAGGGTTACTACGTTTTATTCCTATAAGAGGCTGATCCAAAGTAACAACAAAAGAATAGTTAAACACAAAAAACACCTCCTTTGTGTCCTTGAAAAACCACTCTCGGTCATTAAAGAGGGAAAGTGTTTTATTCTCTATCAACTTCAACTTTCCCTGACAAAGCCCAGTCCCGTGGTTTTCCAAGGGGAGATTAGTAGTTTTCCACACACACCTGCGTGAAGATGAGTCATCAAAACAGTGCACACATGTGATAACGAAGCGGGTTAGCCGGCGTGGGTTCTGTGCCATGACCCGTAGAAAATATTCCAGTTACCAAAGAACATACTAACCCCAAAATTTAGCATCTTAAGATGACTGTTTTATTTTCAATCTTTTCTCTCTTCTGTTCTTCAGATTTCTATTGATCTATCTCCAAAGTACACCGACTTTTCACTCTGTCATCTCTATAGAGTTGTTAAGCCCATTTGGCAAATTTTTTTAAATTTTATTTTGGATACTATTTTTCGGTTCTAGAATTTCTTTCTTTAGTGTTTATTTCTTTGAAATATGTTACCTTTTTATTCATTAAAAGCATATTTTCCTTTACATCCTTGATTATAGGTACGATTGTTTTAAGATCCTTGTCTGCTACACCCGACATCGATGTCCGCACACACTCTCCATTGATTATCTTTGCTTTTTCCTCTTGAGAAGCTTCCCGTGTGCCAAGCCAGTCTGGATTCCGTCCTGGACACTGTGAGCGCTACGCTGTGAAAACTCTGCAATCTATCATATTCCTCTAAAGAGTGCTGTTATTTTTGTTTTAGCAGGCGATTATCTTAGTTTGAATGAAACTCTAAACTCTTACTCTTTAGGGTGACCGCTCGAATTTCAATACAATTATTTTGTCCTTAGCTTAGTTGCTTCACACCTGGCCCAAGCATGTGCGATTCAGGCATCAGCAGGGATTGAGGCGGTTGATACAGATAATCTGGAGTTGCTTTATCCTTTCCAAGAGGACCACCTTCATCTTCCGAGGGCTGTGGTTCCTCCAAACCGCCCTTTGAGTCTTTAAGCTAAAAGGTCTGTAGGTTTTCTATCAGAGTTCTAACTGCTCTCAAGACACACACTGTGCCCTTCCTGCCTTCCCAGCGTCAGTTCAACTCCAGAATCCACTTGTCTGGGTCAAATCTGACGTCTTCACATAGCTGTCTTTTGTCTAGAGTTTACAATTATTATTTGTAGGAGGATCAGCCCAACAGTAGCTTACAGGGCCATTAAAGGAAGCAGAACTTGCACACTTAATTTTTTCCCAAAGTTTTACTTTTTCTCACAATGTTGTGGGTGATGAATTCAGGAAGGGTTTGCCAGGCCGGCTATTCCTGATTCGTGTGGCCCCAGCTGGGCTACTAAGGGACCGAGCTTAGCTCCACTTCCAGGCTGGTTTCCTGCTCATGTCTGGTGCCTTCTTGCTCCCTGACTAGTGTCCTTCTCTCTCCCCACTGCGTCTCACCCTCCAGGGCTTCTCCACATGGACTTGGCAACTCACGACATGGTCACCTCCGGGAATCTGCACTTCTTACATGGTGAATGGCTTCCAAGTGCCTAGAAATGGAACCTTCCAGGCCTTCCAGTCTAGGGCAATACCAGTAACAGTACAGCTTCACTCCTACCACATTTTATCGTTCAAAGTAGTCACAGCGCTTTAGGCACCCAAACTCAAGGGGACAGAGAAATAAATGCCAACCCTTAATGGGGAAGTGGCAAAGTCACATTCATTGCAGGAATACATGCGTAATGATAGATATTTGTGTGGGTATCTCGGAAAAATGTCGTCTGCCATATATTCAATATTTGATAAAACGAAACAGATGCCACCTAACGTAGAGCTCTATGAGACGCAGGGTGTGATGTGAGGTGTGTGCTCCAATTCTCCTGCCACCCTGATTGTCACCCTCATATCATCAACATAACTACCTCTAGGCTACTGAGCATAAAATAGGTTTCTAATGCAGTCTGTTGAGTTTCCAAAGATTTACTACTATGCCCATTTCAAAATACCTAGAAGAAATGCTTATGATGCTGTCATCCAAAGCATAGGACACAGATACAAGATGATGTTTATTTCTTCTTAAGGTAATGTCAATAATAACGACTGTTTACTAAATATATAGTATGTATTTGAAAATTTCTAGGCTTCTTAAATACCTGTTTTTATTGAGTATTCACGTGCATGGGCTTAGGACAAACACTGACAATTTGTAAGAAAGGAGACTGACTCAAACACGCCAAGGACAAACACAATGCAAATTACAAAAATAAAAACCCTAATACAATTGACATTTTATGCTTATCTGTGGGAATATATATGTATATACATATCTCGAGCTACTGTCTAAACACCTTAAGCTGTCACTCCAGAAAGTGAACATATTCCAATTCTAAATACTATATTCTAAATGAAGTCACGTACATATGAAGCATAACAAAAAACGTTCCTACCTTGTCTTGGTTAACTCTGTTCTTGTAACACAGATTTCCAATCAGACGAATGAGATGAGACTTAAACCCCTCAGCCATGTTCGAGATGTTGCTATCCGCTTTTATGTAACTGCAGGCACTAAAGATGTTCGTGGTGTCAGTGCCAGTCACATGAATCAGTCGTAAAAGATCTGTAACAAAAAACAAATAACCTTAATTTTTCACAGAAAAATGTTTAGTATTTCATACTCATGTTCCATAAATAAATCTAATTTATTTTAATGGATTAAAATAAAATAAAGGCCAAGTACCGAAAACTTTCTTTAAATATTCATGAGAAGGCTCTTCTGTTTCTGCTTTAAAATTTCTCACGACTCTGGTTTGGGGACATAAGCCATGATTATCACAACTTGGGCTTTCTATTTATCCACAAAGAAAAGTTAGCTATAAGTTTTCCACCATCTTCCTAAGGAAAAGGTTTCTAATCCCAACTTCTTTATGAAACAGCTGATGTGATAAAACACAACACCTGCCTGCGATGAGCCCTATGATTTTTTTTTCCTCATTGGTCAGATCATCAGAAGGCAGCAAGTGTCTCCACAGATCTGTTCTGGCTATGCTCAGAAGAAATCTTAGCGTTGTTATACTCCATGAGATAGATGCCTTTAAGCAGCCCGTGAAAATAAGCAATCTTCCTGACCTTGTCTCTAAAAAATGTTTCCATTTTATCCCATTCAAGCATCTCAACAAACCTATTAAAGACAGCTATCACTTTCCCAATTTTATAATGAAGAAAACGGGCTCGGAGAAGTTAATAATTTCACAGAGTGAGGACGGCTACCCATGACTGCCCTGGCTCTGAAAACATGCCTTTTCCACAGTGATTCAGCTTCCCAGGTTCATGGTGCTTTAATTACCATTAAAAGCACTGTATTCAAAAATAAAACACTGATGTGAGATTCTAACTATCCTCTAACTACCCTCTACAGCCCACTGCTAACTCACCTACCCATCTAGACACAAATTCGTCCTTCTTGGCATATGAATCCCCAGAATAAATATAATCTTTTTAAAAGAAAAAAAAAGCAACACCTTAAGCACAGCGAATCACAAGGCATAGGTTGTACTTGAATTATTCTGCAAGCAGTTTTTTAGCAAAGATGGTACTATTTCCCACACTGCCTTCCTGTTTAAAAACAATTTTCTTATAAGAATCGAATACATAATTACTATGTGTAAGGCACTATCCTTTGGGCCCCATCAATGTAATTAGGAAGAATTTACTAACAAATTTGGTGAAACTATAGTAATATAAAAATGGACGCCATCATCATCGAAACCCATCACCGAACCCCACCATCGCCATCACAGCCACTACTGATGGCGTCCCCACGACACGCGCCTTGTGCACCAGGCATCGTACCGTCGCACGCTGATCAGGAACCCGAGTTAAACAACAGGTAAGCGGCAAACGCCTGAGCTGCTACCAAAATGCCAGAATTCCTCTCAAGGAAAAACACATTCTAAACGATCTCAAAAATATACCGATACCCTGAAAGTTACGGATCTGTATTTGGACTTGATAGCATTACAAGTCAAAGGTTTCTCAGTTAAAAATAACAACGCGTGGTCTCCCAACTCACCGACTACTCTGTCCAGCAAGCCAGGGTACGCCTGCAGGTAGCCGAGCAGGTCGCCGTGAACACTCATCTCGCACAGGACATCCAGCAGCCTGATGGTAGCCAGCGCCTCCTGAAAACAAAAGGAAACAAGACTTTGAGTCGAGCTAAATGATTTGGCTATTATCAATACCTGTAAGAGAATGAAATGTTACTGTAAGTATCAAAGAGTCAGGGCTTCTAAGACATCTAAAGAAACAAAGCTGTCGAGAACAAAACGGAAGTACTAAAGATGCACACGAACAGTCCTTTGCACGAACAGCAGACATCACCATTGAGAATGCAAGACTACGTGTCATTATGTGTCTTTGTGGAGCAAAGAATCAGAAAAGTTCTTATTCAAGCAAAAATACCTTCCAACAGTGAAATAAATGTTCAAAATTACTAGCTACACACATAACATTTATGCAAATACTTCCTTTTTAAAGCGTTCCGAGCAAGCAAATTCTACTTTAAAGATACAAATACCCCACGAAATACATTAATTTCTGGTCCACAGGAATCCTGCAAAATGTTGTGGTTGAAACAACTCTGGCTACAAGTACTTGCATTATTTCTGGGTAAACATAAATCTATATACAATATCTCATTGGATGGAAAATGTATTATTTGAAAATGTTAGCTCATATAACTACTAAATGATTTATTATCAAATAGACTATATGATCAAGAACTACCAACTGCATGGCATTAGTCAAAAAAAAGTTTATAAATGCAATTTTTATACAGATTTTTAAACTTCATTTTTAAAGTATACATTATTTGTGGTATTATCTACCACAAATTGTGGTAGATGCTATAAATTTAGGTCATAAAGATAATATTCTTCAAAGAAAAATAAATACTTCCTTTTGTTAATTCGAAGTGTGTATTTATTGTTCTCCAATTAGGATATTTAAAGAAACTATTTTAATACAGCATTCTGAAATTTCAAAATAAATAGCAGGAAACAAAATGCATTTTTAATGTCTTGTATCTTTAACTTCATTGTTTTCACTTGCTAGTTAAAAAGTTAACAGAAAACATCTAGGTAAGACGTCTGAAATCAAAACCGTGTTTAAAAGACTCTTGAGCAAATCCATTATGTGCCTGGCTTTGGCATCCTCTTTGGTTAAACGGCTTTTTGCCCAGACTGTCATCTCTCGAAACCACTTCTCCTTCAAGAAGTGGATGATTGGTTCTAAGTCTGGGCAGATGTATACGAGTTGATCCTGAACATCCTGTCACCCCAGAGAGCAAAGGAGCCATCAGAGACTATTAGGGTCATGTCAGAAGAAATCAGAAACAGCCTGAAGAGGCCCCCCCAGCAAGGGCACATTAGGACATCAGGAAGTATTAAGAGCTGCAGTAGACTGAAAATAAATCAAGTGGTTTTAAAGCCATGACTTCATAATAATTAAAACAAACAAGTCATTCATCATCTCTGGATGATACCACAAAACCAATTCATAACTTTGAAGACTGGTAATCAAGGGAGGGGACCAGGATCCAAATGTACCTTGTATGACCCAAGAGTTGATTAAGGGAAGATTCTCTTTATAAAACATTGCAGCTAATAAATAAAAAATGAATGATACACTCAAAATACCATTATTTTGAAATCCCTAAGGAGCTGATGGAGCTAGGTAATAATCATTAACACTTGCTAACATCACAAAAAGAGACAACCAGATATTATGAGCCTTGTGATGAAGTGTATTATCACCAACAATAAGATGTTACTGGGACAAAAAAAAAAAAAAAAACCCAATTAACCCGAATCTGAATAAGCCTCTGGAACTAATTGTCATTCACAGGAAATTCAAGGAAAAGAATATGTTAAACACCACCATGGAGACAGATTCATCAAAATCCAAGCTGCAGAAACCTCTACCAGTAAAGCAACCCAATTTCTTCTACAAATAACTAGCAAAGGACAAAAAAAGGAGAGGGGGAGGAGGAGGAAAGGGAACCTATACCCCCAAAGAGACCCGAGACACACTGACCAGTTGCAATGCATGGCCTTTATTTGTATCAATTCAAAGAAATAAACTTGGAAAAAAAAAAAAAAAAAAGACGACCAGGATAATGTAAATACTATTTATTTAATACTAACGTTTTATTTTTTTGGATGCGCTAAATGTATTTTTCCTATGTGTGAGAATTCCTTATCTTTTAGATATACGTGTATAAAATATTAACTGATGAAATACACTGGGGCCCTTCTCGGTCCAGGGCGACTGGCGTGGGAACAGGTGTGGACGCAACAAGCATGGTAATGGGTGGGTGGTGCAGGGGTAGAAGAGACGACCCCAAATTTCTTTCCAGCTCCTAAATTCTCATGTTAACTAAAATGAACCCAAAAGAAACTTAATCCATCTCTACCTAACACATCCCCAATTCTAATCATTAAGATCCTTTCATTAATAAACTATTCCTAACGAGAATCTGGAATATAATAATGAAATAACTGCCAGGAAAAATTATTACCTTAAAAATTAAAGAGTAATGAGTCACATGCCCTTCTGATATTTATAAGTATCATAAAATTATATTCGCCCAGGCACTAAGGGGTAAGAAAAAAAAGAAAAAAGACAAATCAAAGCAACAGGATTTTGAAATGATCCTGTCTAGATCATCTATCGGGGGTAGCGTCACGCTTTAGTGTCTTTGAGCTATTTTACAACATCGTAAGTTGTAGAAAAATAATAATGCGAATGGTTCCTGTCCACAGAAATGCAGATTACTTGCAGCTGGTAGAAATGCATCTAACCAACTGCCTCGTGCACAGCATGTCTGTGTCTATTGAAATTTAAGTTCACTTTTGCAGCCTTTTATTGCACACACAGGTGCGGTTCTGAATCCTTTGCCATTTGTTAATCTTATCTCTTCCCTGTGTAAAAAGCTGGAAATCCAAAAATACATCAGAATTTAAAATATGATAGGTATTAAGTGGAAAGGATGCTCTTATTCACTAAATGGTATCCTACAGTAATTAAAGCTAACGTTTAGGGAACGTTAGCTACTTCCTAGTAAGTGTACTAGATTCTTGTATTAAAATACAATGCGTTTTACAGGTAAAGAAACCAGGGCACAGAGAGGATAAGTAACTTTCCAAAATCATACACTAGTAACAGAAGAAATCAAGATCCAAACTCAAGCAATCACCAAAGATTACATAATCTTAGAAATAGACATAAATAATTCACGTGGCTGTATCTTCATTCCTTACTCAAAAATAAATTCTAGGTTAATCAAAAATGTGGACAATGTGTTAAAAAAACTAGAACATAAAGGTTTATATTTCTACAACCTAAATGGAGAAGGTTTTACTAAATATGTAAAAAGGTGTCAGAAACCATAAGGATAAAATAAAACTAGATTAAAAACAAACAAACAAAATTCTAGAAGGCTAAGAATACCATAAATCAATTCAAATAAAAAATTATGAGAAAAAAGTTTCTAAAAATATATAACAGATTTTCTAAAAATGTTCATTAATAACTATTTTTAAAAGGAAACCTAATATGAAAAACAAATTAACATATTAAAAAAATGTCAAAGAGAGGAGGGTTGTAGGCCTACACACTCTGGTGTTCTACTGGTACATCATTTCGAAATATTTCTAAAAATTTTAAATAAACATAGTCTCTGAGTCAGCAATTCAACTTCCAGGAATTTATAAACCCAGATTTACTCATCCAAAATTGCAAAGATATTTTTACAAGTACGTTCACCAAAACAGTATTTGTAAAGGTTTTTAAAATAACAAACCTGGAAGCAAATAAAATGTCTGCCTATAGAACAAAGCAAAAACTATGATGCATCTCTACAGCAAAATACTATTCGACTACTAAAAAGAGTAAGATGAACACACACGTGTTAAATGGAAAGATACACAGATATGTCATAGTAAGTAAAAAGAAGCAAGCTGAAAAACAATGTGTACTATTTTTTAAAAAAAGGTTAAAAAGTGTTTAGATGTGTATATACAAAAAAGCTTTGGAAGAAAAAGAAAAAAGTAGATGCTGATATATCTGTAGAAAACATGGAGACTAGGCATGAAAGACTTCCTAACTTTTTGTATCATTGACTTCATTGGCTTGAATTATTTTTTTAAACGACAAAACCAATATATTTGCTTAATACAAACATTTAATCCCTTATCAGTATATGGAATGAAAGACTAACTTATTCCACAAATATGTATTAAACACCTGCTGCATAACGAGCACCACGACTTAAGCTGTGGATGCAAAGAACGAAACAGAATGAAAAACCCACGACCTGAAGATAACTCTCATCATATACGAATACAAAAAGAAAACTAAAGACTTTTTTTAACTTTCAGAAGAAAAGCAAGGCTCACTACAAGTGATAATACTGAGACCCAAAATAAAACTAAAATGACTCTTAAATCTTAAGGATTAAGCATACTAGAACTGACAAAAAACATATCAAAAATTGGAAACAAGTACCAATACTATACCAAGGCAGAAACACGTATATTGATAAAGATCATAAAACTATTTTTACGAAGGAACAAATGAATGAAACCTCATGATTTTAAAGCCAAACAAGTACATATATTAAAAAACAGATGCTATAAAAATGACTATTTTCATTCTGATTTTTCGGTCACAGTATTGAGAGAACTTTATTAGATAATCCTGTCCGAAAAATACGACAAAAAGGTAATAAATGCAGTGGTTTGCTAGCAGACTAGCTGGGGGGTTAAACTTCCGACTTAAAGGACAACGCACATACATTAATATGTACAAGTCGTGAGTGTATAGATCAATAAATTTTCAAAAAGACAACTATTGGGCTTTTCAAAAGAAAGCTCTGTAATTTTCTATCGTTTAATTTATACAAATTTCTACATATAGAAATTTCTATATATTAAATTTCTATATATAGAAATTTCCTAAATATAAAGTTGCATCGGGTAATTTCTTATTATAATATTAAAATCACCTATACTCTAAATACAAGTACCTTGAAAAAGTTTAAAGCTGTAATTTAATGAGTACTAAGTTTTACTTCCTTTTCCATCTCCTAGAGAATTCATTTTTAAAACCTTGAAGCAGAGCTCACTGCTCCTCCTGCTGGAAGCAGAGGCAAACCAACCTCTGGTAGGAACTCGGCCAGGCCCGTGAGCAGACGTCCGGGCTCCCGGCACAGAAAAGGAGAATTAAAACGTCAGCTCTACCGCGAGACCGAACACGGTCTCAGAAAATCAGTAACAGAGTAACCCTGAAAAAAGCACATTCACAAAGAAGGAAAAACACCTTCATGGGAGAACAGGCACAGTCACAGCCTCCAGTCGTCACAGGGGTTACCAAGCTCATGGGTCACACGCAAGCCCAGGAAATGCTACGGGGCAGCGTCCACATCCGCCACCGTCCCATCTAGAGACAGCAGAGGTCCCGCCAGAGGACAACCCCCTCACTTGGTCCCACCCATTTGCCAGTGGTTCCCTCTAGTCATTGTTCCCATCAGCACAGAAATGTGTCTCTACGGTGTTTCTGAACACGTTTAAGTCAACTTTATTGAGATATAATGTACACACAATAAGACACATGCTCTTAATTGTATGGTCCTGAGCGGCATCAACGTACACAGCCACGTATAACATTTCCATTACCAAGACGGTCCCCCATGTCCCTCTGCAATCAACCCCACCTCTCCACTTCCAGCCCCAGGTGACATCGGATCTGCTCTGTCGCTGTCGCTAAGTTGTGCCTGCTACAGAGTCCCACAGAAATGGAGTCACACGGTACATTCTCCCATCTGTCTGGCTTCTTCCGGTCAGTATGCTTGAGACTTGTCTCCATTTTGGTCTCAGAAATATACTCCTTTTTACTGCTCAGTAGTATTCAGCAGAAAGAACAATTCCATCTTTAAGACAGAAGGGAAGGCAGAAGGAATAGATAAGAACAGAGAATTTCTTAGATAAAAATAAAGAGAATTTCTGAAGCGAAGAGGAAGGTGGCTAGTTTAATAAAGCGAAGACCTGAGTGATCCAGGCTAGGCATGAGGAGGATGAAACACACCCGAAGGAGCTAACCGGATGGTGGCCAGACAGGGACCTCCTGTAACGGACAGAAGAAACGAACGCTCTGGAAGGAAATTTAGAAATGTGCAACAAAAGCTTCAAAACCGGACGTAACCACACACCCAGCAATGCCACTTCGGAGACTGTGTCCCAGGTCAGCAAGTATGGAAATGTACAAAGCTATAACCCCAAAGGCACATTTATAACAAACAGAAGAAAGAACACCCTAAATGTCCAACTACGGGGAGCTGGACACATAAATGAGGATAAATTCTTTACTCAGTCTACGGCCATGCCACTCTGAACATGCCCGATCCCGTTTGATCTTGGAAACTAAGCAGGGTCAGGCCTGGTTAGTACTTGGATGGGAGACCACCTCAGACTACCAGGTGCTGTAGGCGTTGAAAAAAAAAATTCTTTAATCAGAACGTTACCCTGGCATTTTAAAAAGACATTCAGAAAGTACTATTTGTTTACTCATTCAGGAAATATTTGCTAAGTGCCACTACGTACACAGTACTATGAACTTAACAGTCAAAACTTCTGCCCTCATGGAGCTTACATTCAGAAGAAAAATCAGGAACTTACAAAAAGGTGGCACAGAAAGATTTCGTTGTGAATATGTTTGCGTGTGCACGCGCGTTATGTACGCACACACGCATTTGACGATATCTGCCCAGACAAATGTATTCGCTGGGCCGGTTTGGGCATTAACTCTGAATGGTAGTGAATGAGAGCACTTTCTTAACTGCTGTAAAACAAGAGTACTTGTTTTAGGGTACTGTCTCAGCCCATTCAAAGCGCTCTGACAGAAACAGCACAAACAGGTGGCGTATAAACAACTGAAGTTTATTTCTCGCCGCTCCAGAGGCTGAAAGTCCAAGGTCTGGGCACCAGCATGATGGGCTGGGCGAAGACCTCTTCCACACTGCAGCGGGCCCGCTTCTTGCTGTGTTTGCACAGGGGATCTTTCTGGGGCCTCTTTTATAAGGGCGCTGACCCCATTCATGAGGGGCCCACCCTCATGACCTCATCACCTCCCAAAGGCCCCACCTCCTAACGCCATCGCTTTCGGCATTAGTTAGGTTTTCAACACATGTACGAGGGGGAGGAGGGCACAAACATTCAAGCTACAGCAGATACATGACTTACGCCGTCTATTTTTTTAAAGGTTTTAAAAAAAGGATTCTCACAGCGGATCGAGCTAAGTTAGAAAATCTGTTCCTCTCTCATCGTCAGTTATGAACTCTCTCTCCTTACCTCATCGTCAGTATACTGCTCGGAGGTCAATTTCAGCACGAGCCTGCACTGATCCACGAAAGTGCTCGCAAACAGCTCGGCATGGCTCAGAAACACAGGGATTTCCTCCTTGGTTAGGGGCTCATCAGCCATCACTTTGGCTATTATAATGTCTAACAGCGTAACCCTGCAAAACACAAAGGATTTTACGTGAACGTGCAATAATGAAATTCTACAATGCTAAAAACACTTACAGAGACCATTTTAAGAGAATATTTTTATTGTGACCTTCCTTTACTTGCTTATAATGTCTAGCTTGGAGAAAAAAATATTTTTGTGAATAAAATTTATCATCATCAATTACCTGCTTTTTAAAAATCTTGATTTCTTTGATGTAACATAGCTACAGAAACGAGCATCTTTCATATCCATTACTTTAAGCACTGAAATAATTCAACATTTCAGAAATGCTGTCAGTTTGTTTTATAATAATCTACAATAATACTAGCAAAGTTAAGCGGGCTAACATTGATTAACTACTTACTATTAAGCTAAGCATTCTACACGTTTTCTCATTTAATCGAGAACTCTACGAGGCGGGTACTGTCATCAGCCTCCCAGGAAAGTCGAGTCGGGTGATTCGTCTACTTGCCCAGGATCAGACACCCTGAGCAGCCGAGTCAGGGCGCAAACGCAGACTGCGTCTCCGACTCCTGGGCCACGCACAGTGAGCACGCATTACGCTGGCTTTCTTGCCGAGGTTGGCCTTGTTGCTGTTTCATCATTTAGTTTACTAAAACACAAATCTGCCATTTTTTTACATTAATATTTAAATTACCAAGTAGATATTTCTATTCAACAACCTCTTTCCTTCATCCAGGAAAAACGAATCATAAACAAGGCAACCTATCCAGCATAAATTAAGCAGGACGCTCCTCAAAATAGTATTTTGATCGGGATCATACATATAAATTGTATTTATTTCTGTATCAAAAAGGGTATGAACACCTAAAATGCTTAGCAAATGGGAGAAAATACACTTACATTAGTTATGAAGCATTTCTTACTGAAAGAAAAATAGGAACGGTTTCCTGCTTCAAGTAAGAAATAAAACTAGTATACTGACCCAGTTTTACAAAATATCTTCCTATATTTTAATGGGAAAGATCATCAGTCTGGGGGTAAAAAAAAATCACCCACAGACCTTAATGATTTCAAATCTCCTAAAACCTCAGTTTTCTTACAGCAATTATTAACCCAAAAAACGGGAAAAGTCAGAAATGAATCTTTAAAAGACAAAAATATAAAGCAAGCTTGAATGATCACCCGAGAATAAATTACACTTCATGAAATGATGCTAGTTACATTAAGCCATGTACCAATAAAAACTTTTAATGGCTCTCACTACGAAGGAGTAGGTCCCAAATTTTTTAGTCTGGTGCACAGGGCCCTCCCAACCAGGTCCCCCCTAACTCTCCAACTCTCTCTACCTCTAGCTACCATCAAAAATCATCCTCTTAAAATAAAGGAATCACACATACAATACACACTCAAGTAGGACATTTTTTTCCAAAATCATTTACTTGCACGCTCCATTTGCTATCCCTGTTTCCAGGCCAGAAAACACGGGTACTGAAATGTACCATAGTCAGGGGAAACGGGATATAACGCGGAAGGTCTTACCTCTTCCACGTGGGAGGAACCACACAAAATACTTCCCTGGAAGCACAACAGAAAACAAGTGGTCTAACGCGCTACTCACTCACTGATTTATTCACTCAGGAGTGAAGAATGCAAAAGCAAGAAAGACCCAGTCAAAGAGGTCAGAGACCAGTTGTCTAAAATTACTGCCCGTCAATCAGTATGAAAGTCTTGCTTCCTTTAACCCAGAAATCATCACTCAGGCTGCGTCAGGCTCACCAGACACAGCCGCTCAATCCGGAGCCAAGCTTCTATAATTTCATCTATCAGTCACTGGGTGTCATCAACACTCTATTTCTAATTCACTTCTGATTACACAGTTACATACACTGTCATCAAAATTACAATTCCCGTTTCAAAAAAAAAAAAAGAAAAGATAGCAATGTACATATGAAGGATTTTAGGAAAAAATTCTGTAGCAAAATTTATATTTTAAAGTTATGCTTTAATTGATGCAGGCTACAATTTAAAAGCCATGCTTGTATCATCCTGAAAGTTTTTTATCAGAGGACTGGAGTGAGGGGAAAGAAGGAAGGGGTAAGGGTGAGTGAGTTTCACGAGCATTCTGGGGCAGGAAATAATATCCTGTTATTCTGGAAATAAAATATCTGTCATTCAAATTCAAAGACTAGCGTGTCTAACAAATTCTGAATTTACATTTGAACTATTCCGCACGTAGAATTTGTTGACTAGAGCGCCACAGAGGACAAAAATTTTATTAACCTGGACAACAAGTGAACCCAGACACAGGCAGACAGACGGCCGTTGCTGAATTTATCTCATCGGCCCCTCAGTGAACTCCAGATATAAGAAGGCACATGCGTTGCAGGGAAAAAGAGCGCTGGTTTCGGCATCGGACAAACAGTTCACACACCACCTCCGCTCCCTTCGTAGAAACCCAGGGCAAATACCTTAATGGATACAGCCTCACAGGGCCCTAATGAAGAGTAAATACCCCGGCTGTATGTTGCCTTCCACACATAACGACGATGCTGTCTGGAGGAAGAAGTCAAGGTCATCGAAGGAGGAGGGGTGGTGCTGATGGTGCTGACAGTAACAGTGGTGACAGTAATAAAAGTGGCAGTAACAATGGTGATATAGTAGTAGCAGTAGTAACAGCGGCAGCAGTAACAGTGGTCGCAGTAGCAGTGGTAATAGTGATGGTACTGACAGTGGTGGTGGAAAAGTAACAGCACGGTAGCAGTCGCGGTGGTGGTAAGTGTGGCAGAGTAACTGGTGGGACAGTAGCAGTAACGGCGGTGGTAGTAATCGTAGTGACGGAAATAGTAATCACGGGGGTAAAAGCTGTGGTAGTAACAGTGGTGTAGAGCAGTGGTGATAGACTAATCCTAGTAGTAATGCGGTGGTAGTAACAGCATGGTAACAGTGGTGTTGGTAACAGTGGTGGTACTAATAGCGGTGGTGGTAACAACAGTGGTAATAGTGGTGGTAGTAATATTAGTGGTAGTAACAGTGGTGGTAGTAAGAACAGTAGCAGCAACAGCATGGTAACAGTGGTGGCAGTAACGGTGGTAAA